AAATCCCACGCGTGGCAATATAACGCGTGAAAATCCCACGCGTGGTGACATAACGCGTGGCAATATAACGCGTGGAAATCCCACGCGTGGTGATATAACGCGTAGCAATATAACACGTGAAAATCATACGCGTCGTGATATAACGCGTGGAGGTCCAATGCGTGGTGATATAACGCGAGATAACTCAACACGCGGCAATATAACGCACAGTAAATTAACGCGAGGCAATATAACGCGAAGTAACCTAACGCAAGCTACCACGTTTCAATTTATCACCTAGGAATCCAATTCGTGGCAACGTAATAAGACTTCATGTTATTTTGTATTTCAATTTTCACCCGTGAGTTTCATTGATTTTCAGCCACGTGTAGCTGATCGAAAGTAGTCGTGTTTCCGGTACACGTACAAACAAATGGTAATACGCGAGGGTCAGCAAGTGAATTGACCAACGGCCAGTTTCACATAAACATGACGCATATTTGAAGGGTGTAGCTGCGAGAAAATGGTCATTTTGCCGGACATCGTGGTTAGGGGTGTAATTCTGTTACGTGGTAGAAGAGCCCACTCGTGTTCACTTACCACGTGCCGACTGGCTGATCGACGACTGGCTCGTATTTCTTAGCCCTCGGTCTCACTAGGTCGGTTCCCTATCTATGGATAGCAATCCGATGTGCAAAGGGAAAATGGTTTCCTACTCGACAATTTTTTATGAATGTAGCGAATATAGATATATAGAAACGAATTCATAATTTGGAAGTAGACAAATATTAAATTTTAGAATTTGGGAATATAAAAGTTGTCAAGTGTACCTATGTTTCCGTGTCATCGCTGAATAGTCGCAGAGTAATGGTAGCATCAGGACATAAGTTAGGCGTTTCCCGCGTCGCGTGCCATAAAAAAAGAGTATCTTAACCCAATGCATAGCTAATGTATATACGTTTCCTACACGCAATCAACACCGCATATGTCGCCCTCGTTAACGATCGATAGCGCTAAACCCTCTAAGTAGCCGCGTAACTTTTACATAACATATCAAATTTCTGTTTCAATATCATCTTTTCCTCCTTTCGAGCAAGCTATCTTTCCCTAAAGAAAAAAGCGAATTTATGTATGTATAAATACTTATCTAAAGGAAATTTACGTGGTACATGAGTGTACGTGCTAATTAATAAGGACAGTAAGACGTGACGAAGAGAACGTCTCGCAGAAACGGGGAAATTACCACGGTCAATGTTCATCGTCCGGTTCACGTGCCTTCCGATACGACCTCACGCAACTCCCACAAACGATTACGAGACACGAAACCTACAATAGAGAGAAATTTCAGCACGCGCTATTAGTCATTAGTTTTTTCATTTAGTCGAATCTTTCGAAACTAAAAAACGAGTCGTTAATGATATAATTATTCCAATAAATAGGGAACGTATCTGACTTCGTGCGAAGCACGTTGTAAAAACGTTTTCTTTCGATAACAAGTGACTACAAATTAGCGTATATTACGCTTCTCTTTTTTATTCTTGGCGAGTTTATCTAGTTTGATAGGACGTATGTTTATTCGTTTTAAAACGTGCAAGGAAATGTAATACATGTTCCGTTGGTGATTAACACTTTATTTTTAAATTAACAATTTGTCTATATTAGATATTTTGCTATTTTTTAATATACTTCAAAATTGCAGTTTGCATAGTCAAGGCATGAAGTATTGTGTGTTACTGCGCATGCGCAAACGACATTATGTAGCAGCGATATTTGCGCATGTGCATACAGGTTCCCGATAAAAAATAAATGTCAACAGTGCATCACTGGACTGACAATTCACCAATGTCCGTGAAGACACTGGCAATTACACATCACTGTTACAAACCAAAAGAAGTGCCAATATAACGTAATCGAAGTTATTAAGAAAAAAAGAAATGCGCACATCTTTGATCTTTGGAATGATGCAACGAGCAAATATGTATAATAGAAGATAATCGAAAGCGCCTCTCGATAGACGAATTCATGGATAGAATCTTGTATCTGACTGGACATTGACCGTTGTTTATTTCCGTGGATGATTTAATTATCTGTAATAGTGTGCTGATGTAATCGTGTTTTGTAACCACTTTATAGAACGTTAATAGATTCGAGACTATGAATTATTATATTCGGTGATATGCATATTGTTGGCAGATAACAAGTGTTTTGATTCACTTACGAGTATGGAAATGGGAATTTTATTTGAGGGTGATAAATCTCGAACACCATGAAAATCTTAGAAATGTGTGTTTACACGAGTAAAAAATATAGGATGATAAATTATTATGGTATACACATTGAATAATTAAATAAGGATGTTGATGGTAAACTGATTCTAAGTATATTCTAAAAGCAATGCCGATTACATTATTTTTCTTGTGCTATTAATTATAGTATTATAATACTTAGTAAAAAATGAAACTGTTATTTATTTCTTCACTTGTTATCAACAATTTTCGATTTTTAATCAACCAATTAAAAAAAATAAATTGCTTCGAATTTTCGACATCATAAAATTTTAAAAGAGGTACATATAAACATCCGCTATTTATCAAACATGAAGAGGAATTGAAGTCAACAATTTGTTGGTATAAACCTGTTTTAAAAATACACAGTTCAAATTGCGTAATTTATACTTATTTTAGTAAAAATGGACTGTGCTCACTTTTCAATAAATTAATTAAGAACAGACAGATAAATATACTATTTTATATGTATGATATAGATTAACATTCGAATGAAAAAAAGCTCGTGTAGATAACACATTTACGATCCAACGATAATTTTTGGTCGCTACACGTGTAACGCTGTACGTAATTCGGTAAATGGTAATTACCAAGGCCGAATAAATTCCAATTTGTATCAGAAACCGTTGTCATTTTATTTTAATATATTTCTTCCAAAGTTTCTTCACTTTCTTTTCCTTTACACTTAGCCATTTGCGAGATATTTACACTCGAAATAGTTCACAAACTATAATTTTAAGATAAACGCATTATTTATCGCACTGCACGTATATGACGTAACTGCGAACTGTCAAATCGACTCGAAAATCTGACGCGATATTTTCCCAATGTTATACGGAAAAATTCGATATGGTCGATGAATATACGAACGGTGTTCAAATTCCTCGATAAATGCATCGAAAGGATGTAGCGTGAGAGAATTCGGGTCTCGTTGCTCGAGAATTCACGGTCACATAGTTTCGTAAAAGGGACGCCCGTCCTTGACCATGTTAGAACGAGCTTCGATTAAATGCTTCGAATACCGAATCGATTCACGGTTCAACGCGGTCGTTGAAACTTTCGCTATTTCCTACTAAGAGGGCATACACACTTACCTGCAACAAGAGCTCCTATTATATTACGAAGTTTTTTACAAGAAGTCTCTGCATCTAATACATCTGCCACATTTTCACCGTCACTTAGTATTTAATCAAATAAGCCAGTATGTCATTACCATGCTGGTTGCAAGGGGATGTAAATCTATACATATCAAACATTTCATGCAAAAAGTAAATTTGAATGACTTGTGTCTTGTGACAATCTACAGTATTATATTGTCAGCGCTTTTTATTCGTAATATAAAATGGACCCTAAATGACAGGTACCTTTTACCCATTTCCCTAAGGAAGCATATCGTGTTCAACACCATAATATGCCAGTGCATTTATTACCGGCGGGATAACGTGAGAATAATAACGACGCAGGAGATGAAGTCTCAATGACCCACGGAACCACTGTCTATAAAAACTCGTTTAGATAGCGATGTATGCGGTTCGATCCGGTTCGCTCGTTTCCCTCGTCGCGTCGCTTTGATACGGTTCAAATTCCACGATCGCTCACGATTACCGATTTGGCAATTTGTCGAGGTCGTAGGACGAGCTTCCATGAAACAAAAACCGCACGAAACAACGGGAACTTTAATTTTCTAGACTGGAGAATTTATTTAAAATAAGTTCGAATTCCGTGGTCACGAGGTTACCTGACATCGCGCAATTACGGGAGACCGAGTTTGAAACTCCACATCGTTTCGACCGGAACGCGTGATCGAAAGCGAGCTATAAATCTTCGAACTTGAAGAACTTTCGAACGCGTTAATTGTTATTACCATTGACGCGGAAGATCGAATGCAATCCGGCGTGCTTTATCTTGTCGCGACTATTAGTCCAGCTGCGCGATTCTCAGGGGGGTGTCTTCTCATGATCGCACGTTCAGTCGCGTAATTTTACTTCCGATACATCGCGCACCATAACCTTACAATCATCCTAAAATCTTCGAATGTCGTTCGCGAGAATTAAAAAATCCCTAGATGCAATTTTTAAACTTAGCAAGTTTACTCGCACTGCATTACAAAAAAGGCTCGAATTATTATGGCGTAAAATGATCTAAAAGAAGAATTGTCAGATTATTAAACTTATTGATAATTTTATTAAGACGAAACATGAGTGGACGTATCTCGAGCTCACACGATATTAAATTGTGAGAATAAAAATAAAATAGTAGAATATTTTTCTTATTATAAGTATATTTAGAATAGTAAGATACCTTCAGGAAAGTATGAGGTTATTGGTCAGTTGAAACATAGTAACGATTCGAAAGTCGTGTTTAGGAAGTCGTAGAAAAGTTGGATCAACGTATTCAAGGGGTGATATCCTGGTGAGGAGGAGCAGCCAGTTTGGCTATACACATATCGATTGGTGCCATTCGGTGCCTGGCAGAGGGTTGTGCTTCTTCTACTTCCATTTGCGCAGATACCGGATACGACAAAAGCTTTGGCAAAAGAAGAAACTCGGGGAGCACGACCATGCTCGACTCGTCTCGTTCGCTAACTCGGCAATTCGTTTTCGTTGGCAATTAGAATGTCCAATAACAGTAACTGGTATCCGGTGATACCTTTTACAAATATTTCAGCGATTCGATCACGGCAGTGTATTGAATTACTTTGATACGAATTGTTGAAATATTTAAAATAAATAATTACCATCTTATCAACGGGTGCGGTCCCAATGAAGGCCCATAAATAATAGGTACATAATTTTGAAAGTAATTTTCTTGAAAAGTATGATAAAGACTTTGACAAGTATTTTTTAAACATAACAAATGTTTTAATAGAAATTTATCGAACAAAATTTTATCTACAATTTTTTATATTAAACAGTATATGTACTGGTATCTTAATTTAAGTAATACACTTCTAAGAAAAATTGAAAGTTACGTAGTAAGCGTGTTTGATTAATTCGTATTGATAATGGCACTTTTTTCAATTGCTTTTGTTTATTGCTTTCGTATAAAGATTAAGCTGACCTAATATGAACATTAACTGGATTGAAGTACGTGCTTTGGAACACGAGTCAGATGGTACAACAGTCATTTTTCATTGTCGTTGTTTTGTTTCTTGTTTCTTTTTCATTGTACATCATACTTTAGCGAGAATGATAATTACAACGAGAAAAATGATGTCAAAGATCGCACACGAAAATGTTACTTATGAATTTTTAAGATTTTGAATTTTTAGCCTTTAGAAAATAACATAAAATTACTGATAACTAGAGTATCTGATGTATTTAAAAAATGTGTTCTAGCCATTATCTAAGGGTTTCTCACAATTTTCGGCGAGAGGACAGATGGAAAGGCGGCGAGCACCGTTTCTCAGAGGCCCCAGTAAAACAAGAGAGGTATTTCGACGTATCAATTTTTGGAAACATTAGAATAAGTAAAATAAAGATTTACCTAATTCAAAGATGATGTAATTTCTTTTTTATACAAATATCGTTTGATTCAATTTCGCGCACCTTGCACCACAATGTAACCAACCTAACAAATCAAAAAATGTACAGAGATCATGCGTGACCTCTACACAAAATCCCAACAGCAACAGTAAACAATAAACAGAAACATAACCTAACTAATGAAAGTATTTTTTATGATCCAATAAATATTTACCGTTTCATCATAATGCGGCAGAATACTCATTGTATTAACAAACAACATTATAATAAATATTTTGCAGTATTTATACATAGCTGTATTTAATTTTCTACTTACTGCAATGCAGTGACAATAGCAATGTATTATAACGAATTTTTTAAGGTATCAAATCACACAAATTAATAATTTTGTGTTTGTAATATTTATTTATTTTGTTTATAAGAACGTTCATTGTTATTACTGTTACTACAGGGAGACAGAAACAGAAGTACTAGAATGGACCCTGCAGGTAGTGTAACAGGTGGTACAGAAGATCGCATAAGCGATGAAGATCTCTCACCAGACATATTGGTTAGACAAAATTATGAATTGCGTCATCGTTTGGAAGAAGAAACTGCAAACTATAAAAGACGTCTAGACACATATCGCCAAGCACAGCAACAGCAAGCTGCTCTTGTTTCCCGTTTACAAGCCAAAGTAAACTTCTATTTTTCTGGCCTTAAGTTTTCAAATATGTAATAATAATTTATATGTTTAGGTTTTACAGTATAAACAAAGATGTTCCGAACTCGAAAACCAAATGGCCGAATCTGTTACGTATGAAACTAACAAAGTTTCAAGTTCTGTACCACCGGCAAACTCTGCTTTAGATGCAGCTCAACAAACATTAAGAGAAATACGCGAAGAACAAATTCATGATCTAGATACTGCTTTGAAAAAACTTTCAGATGAACGTAAAAGGTGATGCTTCTCTAACATGGCAAAAGCCATTAAACATTTGAAATATTATGGTCACTGAAATATTGCCTTTGCAGGTGTGAAAAGTTATTACAATTAAATACAACTTTGAAAGATCAATTAGAAGAATCTCATCAAACAAATGAAGCACTTACAAATGATTTACAAAAACTGAGTAACGATTGGGATATCTTGAGGGAAGAATTGGCTGTCAAAGAAGAAGAATGGAGAGAAGAGGAACAGGCTTTCAATGAATACTATACTTCAGAACACAATAGACTGTTAAATCTTTGGCGTGATGTTGTTTCCGTGAAACGATTATTCGCGGAGATAAAATCTAATACAGAAAGGGATCTATTAAAAATGAAAAACAGTATTATTTCGACCTTTAACGATGTTTCGTCAGCTTGTAATAACACAGGATTTGCTATGAGAATGCATGCAGCTATGCAACCGGTGGTAAATGATATTCTTAATAAATTCTGTTGCTTTGTATATTATTCACTTCTTAATTACATCTTATGTTAGATATCTCAGCACGTTCAGCAAGCACAAGAGCAGGAAGTAAACGAATTGAGGACTGAATTAACGGCAGTTAAGCAACGATATGATGTAGCACAAAATGAGATTCGTTCGAAAGAAGAAAAGATTAATCAACTTGTTCGCGATGTTCATAATCTGGTAAATGTCTCGATATCAAAAATGTTGATTGATAGCTCTATATTAAATTGACAATAATTACATTTAATATTTAGGAAGAGAAATTTGGGGAGGCAGAAGCAGAAATGCATCGCAATGTACGTATACAAGACGACATTGAAATTTTACAGTCTGCATTGAAAGATATAGCGCATATTGTAATCCAAGATGCGGAAAGTCAGGATATCGAAAATACGCAACCGCCTCCTCATCTTCATTTATCCCCCACTGGACCGATCCCTCAAAAATCACCAAAAAGAGGTACAAGAAGCAACACCATTCCAGCTTTTGCTGAAAGTACTATCAGTGCTGTACAATCAGCTCTGCATAAATATCAGTTAACTATACACGAGCTTCAGGTGTGAAGAATTTATATTGTATGTTTTGGTAAATTATGAAAGCACAAATTCATCCAATCGTGTGCTTGTTACGTCTCCTAATACCATATTTAAATGAGTTATTATATCAGGTTAAATTGCAAACCAACAAAGAGCAATTGCTAACGAGTCGCAAACAGTGCGAGAACGCGGAAGAAAATGTTAAAACTTTAGAGAAAAAAGTAGAAGAATTGGTCACTGAGTTAGACGCAACTCGATCACAATGTTCACAGCTTGTTCAAGAGAAAGATATGTTACAGAAAAGTCTTGATATTGTAAGATTAGAGAAAAATGCACTCGATAAAAGTAGAGTGGAAATTAACAGTATGGTACGCTACTTTTTTTCCTTTTTTAGATAGATACATATTCATGCATGGTTTATCATTAACGATGACAGACAACGTTTATTTTTAGATGGAAAACTTGAACAGTGATTGTGAGAAACTGCAAAAAGCTAACAACAGGTTGCAAAAGCTTTGTGATAATTTAGAAGATGAAAAATTATATCTTCAAAACGAGGTCAATAGATTATCCAAGGATATAGAATTAAGGTACATTAAATAACAATTCTAATAACATGCACTTCAGTAATGGATTGATACAATGTGAATTATTAGGGAATTAAATCTCCGATCAGAAGAAGACAGATGTAGCAAGATGAGAGAAGAATTATTAACGTTACGGGAAGAATTAAATAAGGCGTATCTTGCAAAGGATATGCTCGAACAGCAAAAATTAGAAACTGATGGTTTAATTTCGCAGATTGAAAAAAATAAAGGTAAGTTGTATTTGTACAAATATCTTATTTAATACAAATTGATATTTTTCTTACTTAATAAACATTTAGGTGACTTGGAATTAGAATTGGAAAGAGTATTGTTAGAAAAGTCAGATATGCAAGAAGTTCTCATGAAGCTAGAAACTCTTTGCAGCAATCACGAGCAAGAAAAACAACGACTGGAAGAAGAACTAAAAAAGGTAATGATTTACAATTATTCTGAGTTTAATTACATGCTGTGTAAACCGTCGATGATACTTGGTTCTATTTAGGTAACGGAGGAAAAAAATAAATTTGCAAGTCAATGCACTGATCAACAAGGTGATTTAGGTTCTTTGAGAAAAGAATTACTTCAAGCAGAGCAAACTAGACTAGATTTAGAGTCCGAAAAAGTTGCGTCAAACGAGAAAGTGAAGTTTTTGGAAATTGAAAAAGAAAAGATTGAAATGGAATTGGCACAAGTCACGCGAGAACGTGGAGATTTGAGTAACCAATTATCGGTGTTAGCACGGAAGAAGGAAACATTGAACGAAGAGTTAATGAGACTTAGGCAAAGATTAGAACAAGCAAATGAAATGAATGGAAGAATTAATCGAAATTTGGAAGATCTTGTAAAAGATAATGAAGAGAAACAAGTTAATATTTTATTACAAATTTTATTTTAGTTGATATAAACATATTTATTTATATTAATTTGTTGTATTCACGCAGGTGCTTTTAGAAACAAACGAAAAAGAAGTTCAGAGATTACAGGAGCAACTTGCATCAATGCGTAGCGAAAAAGAAACTTTGGAAGGTGTGTTATTCGATACACAAAGTAATTTAGAAAATATGCACGCGAAAAAGACACAATTGGAGAAAGAACAGAAAGAATTGTTAGTGAAACAAGAAAATTTGAAAGGACAAGTAGAAAGACTAATGAAGGAATTAGACAACAGTGAAAAGAGAGCACAGGAAATAAAACAAACTTTAACGCAACAAAGTGGCGACCAAGAAGCTGAGTTCCATCAAATCATTTCCAACATGAAGAAACATAGCGAAGAGAATATTAAAAAATTGACGGAAGAAAAAGTATTATATTTATAAACATAATTGTCAGAAATGCCGTACAAAGATTATTAATTGCATTTATTTATAGGAACAGATAAAAGTGAGTTTGGAAAAACGGCTTCAACAGTCGTTGTTACAACTTGGCGAAGAAAAAGATAATGAGATTAATCAGCTGCACCAGAAGATCGATGAACTCCAACAGCACATAGAAAATTTGTGTCAACAACACGAAGAAGTTCTTCTTAGAGCAGAGAATGATAAACAACAAGCTCTTCTGATAGGTAAAAAATATACATGTAAAGCAAGAATTCCATCAATATTTTAATATGGATATTTTATAGCTCATCACGATCAGCAAGCATTGGTGGAGAAACTCGAAGGCGTATTGCGTGAAATGGAAGAAGAGAAAAGTAACGTGGAACGAGTTAAAAGAGAAGCTGCATCGCGTGCCGAACAAGAGCGTAACAATACAAATCAGTTACGCGACGAATTGAGTCGTCTCAAAACAAAATTAGACGAAGCTAAGTTGAAAGCCGACGAGGAAAAGATCAAACTGGAACTGAAAGTCGAAGAACTGTGGAAAGAAAGAGAATTGGCGCAAAGGGAATCCGAGGAATTGCAAGTCCAGTTACATATGACAGAAGATAGAGTTGATAGTTTGCAGAATCAGTTGCAAGAGACGATCAGAAAGCTTAAAGATGGTAGTTCCTATATTTATCTTTTGTAACGACATTTGTTCCTATGGTAATTACTATGTATTTATAGCTGAAAATCTTAATGAAACGTTGCGGAAAGAGTTAATGGATGTTAGAAGGCAGCTAACTGATTCCACGTACGAAAAAGAAAAGTACAATAGCAGTAACAAAGAATTGCGGGAACACGTGAAGCGTATTGAGAGTGAAAAGAGAGAACAGAGTAGAACGTTGGAGGAAGCGTATCAGAAGATTGCAGGTAAATGTATAATGGGTCCTTGTATTCTTCCAGTTCTATAAGTTGAACTTAGCAAAATTCACAATGAAATTTTATTTATATTTTGCACAAAGCGTTGGAAGATACAAAAGTAAACATAGATGCCGAAAGATCTCGTATACAAACGCAGTTTCGCGATGTGGAACGAGAAATGTTGCAACTTCAGAAACAGCTTCGTTTTACGCAGGATGAATTACAAAAGTCCCATGATTGTAACGCACAGGCACAGAATGATGAAAAGGAACTGCATGCTCGCTTAGCGAATGAGACTGAAGAAAGAGAACGTTTGCAACTCCAATTGCATCAAGTAAAGAAGCAGGTAAATATATGAAATTCAGATATTTTATTCAGTAAATTTTCAACTATAATCTTTGAGCAGTTAGTAGACGTGGATAATAGTTTGAAAGTAACGAGACAAGAATTGGGAAGATTGCGTTCGCGTTCGGATGAAGAGAGCGAAAGATGGAGAGCCAGAGAACAAGAGTTAATAGTTAGACTGGAAGACAGTCGATGTCGTGAAAGAAAACTTGAGGATCAGAAGCATAATCTGGAAGTTTGTCTGGCCGATGCTTCTCAACAGATTCAAGAACTCAAGGTAAGTAGATGAGAAATTAGCTGATGAAAATAGCAATGGAGATTTTAATTAAACAAATTTTGCACTTAGGCACGCCTTGGAGGATCCGAAGGTCGGGTTCGAGCTTTAGATGCACAGTTGTCACAACTTGAAATGGCGAAGAAGGAAGTGGAGCAGAAATTGAGTAGTGTTGGCTCTACTTTACGACGTATCGCGGGAATTCAAATGGATGGTAGCGTTAATATACCTTTTAAAGTAATGAGTCCTTCGAGAAGATGGAGTCCAGCAAGAGGTACGTAATGAATAAACTTGTAAATATTTTTAAGTTAATATATTTCTGTTACTATTTAGTGCAAGACCATATTGACTCTAGCAGAGATATGATACTTGATGTTGACCCTGAAATTATCAGGAAAGGTGTGAGGTCTCTCATGCAACAAGTAGCTCAAATTGAACGAGAAAGGGTAATCTTTTGTCTTTAGATAGCTTGTTAATTCTACACGGTATATTTATATGGCAAATTTCAGGACGATTATAAAACAGAGTTATGCAACTTACAAAAGCAATTGACAGAGTGTCAAGAAGTTCAAAATAGATCAGATGCTCAAATAAATAATTTATTGACGAACTTACGGATATTACAAGATGAGAAGAACTCGTTGGAAGTAAAACTTTCTCAAAAACAGAGCGGTTACGACATGCAGGTATATTTTTCTTGCAACATTCTACTGATAATATTCGATTATTTTATGAGTATATTTTAGTTAAACGCTTTGCAACAAAAGGTGGAAGAGTGTGAACAATTGCGTGAGAAAGTAACGAATCTTGAATTGATGATCAACAGCGGTTCTGAAGAAAAAGCACAGTTTGAGGTAAATATATAATTGTTTTCCTAATTAAACACGGATAAAATAAGAAATCTTGCAGGAGAAGTTAGACAAACTGAAGCAAGCTTTGAATAGAGTGGAAAATGAAAAACGTAATCTGCAAGAAGAGCTGAGTAGAAGTGAGTCACGTGCCACCAAGTTAGAATTACAAAGAATGTCATTAGAAGGCGACCTTCAAAGATTACAAATGATGTACCAAGAAAAAGAAACAAATATTCATGTATGTATTATGCTTCACATTAAAAAGGAGTATTACCTTAAATATTTGTAATTTTATAGAAGTTACAAGAACGCAGTGATATTCAAAATCGGGCCATGGCGAGTTTAGAAGAACGTTGTGCTTCGTTGAAGTCCACAACGGAACAACTAAATCTTGCACTGGAAAAAGCATCTAATACAGAAAGCGAACTAAAAAATGAAATTAATTCTTTGCAACACCAAGTTATGGAATTAACAACTTCCCTACAGACTTCTAATGAAAAGACCAAACAGGTATTAATATAATTTGATACAGTCATCGTATGCATTTGAGTATCATACATATTTTATTTTAGTTACAAAAACAACTTTCGAATGCTGAAAACGAACGCAGAATTCTATCAGAGCGAGCAGAATCTCTGCAACAGTCTTTAAGCGATCTGAAACATACGAATCAAACGTTAACGGATCAAATTAATCGTCTACAAAATGAATTGGCGAACAATGAAGTACAACGTTGTGCCTTAGAATCTCAATTGAGAATAGTTGCTTATCCGCAAGAAGAGAGTACGAATAGAGACGAAGAATTGTTGAGGCAGCTGCAGACAGCTCAGAGAGAGCGAAGTGAAATCAGAGGAAAAGCAGAAGCTCTCAATGAAAAGGTAACGGTAATAATTATGATAATTATGAAACTCAAACTATTTCTGTCCTTCATGTTTTAGGTGAAATTATTGGAAGCAGATAAGCGTAATCTAGAACGTCAGTTATCGTTATACAAATCAACTAGTCGTAGTAAAAGTTACGAGCGTCCTGAAAAAGCGCACGCAGAACTGTTAGGTACAAGCTTCGACATTGATCACTACGAACAAGAAAACAGAGAACTGAGATTAAAAGTGCGCAGATTAGAAACTCAACTTGCAGAAAAAGAGGCAGAACTTATCAGAGTGAAATCGAGTTACGTTCATACGCATTCAATATATGATTTTAGTCGGGACAGAATGGGAGAAATTGAAAGACTTAGAGCAGCTCAGTTGCAGGCAGAAAAATTGTTAGAGGCAAGGGAACAAAGTCATCGTCAGCAAGTTTTGCGTCTGGAAAATCAGGTACTTAATCTTTTATTGTTTTTAGTTTCTTTCTTAATCCTAAATATAACAAGTTAAAAATAATATTGTTGCATTAATGAATGTGTACACAGATACAGTTATTACGTGAACAACTTAATCAAGAAATAAAACGTCGGCAATTATACGTGTTGAGAAGTTCAAGAGCTGGTAGAGAAATGCAACAGTTACGGCAAGCTTTGGGTGATTCACTGAGAACAGTATCGCAAGATCCGTCATTGGACGCAGTATTGTTAGAACACGAGGCTAGAAAATTGGATTCCACTCTGACAAGTACCACCAGTTTACCACCATCTTTAGTTTTACCTCAGTCATCGTCTTATGATAGATCTTCCACGCCAGCACAGCTCAAATGAATTACGACGCTGTTTCAGACTGAATCGGATAAGAATACTGCCAATATGCGTTCGGATATTTACAAGAAGAATAATATATAATAATTCTTCCATATATGGGAACATGATTTGACATATCTCATACTGGTCACAAACGCATTTAAAATTATTACCATAGATCATTTAAAGATTAGGGGATTGAATCGTTTTGATAATAGTATTATACATTTTTTATACATTTTTAGAACCGATCAACAGCAAACTTATTTAGTACTTAAAAATTTAATAGGTATTTACTGAAATCATTCCGACGGTATCTCGTGAAGAAAAGCTCTTCCTATTTTATTTTCATTATGCTACTTCTTCGTGTATGACATCTGCAAAATTTTTAGAATGGAATGTTGCAGTATAGGTACTTAGACCCAATCCGTCCATTTTAGAATAATTTAAATTTTTTACTATAGATTTTACAATTAAGTTATTAATTAAGTATGATTTCCAAAATATGTGTTCTGATTATCAAGCGTATGCTTATGATCCGTATAATGGAAAGCACCTTGGCAAGAATAATGCTATCTCTAGTCTCGTCTTGAGACCATAGAGAATCACCAAACAAAAGCATTGTAGGGATATGCTTCTGTTTATTTGATAGATGAATCGCTGAAGTCTAGCATAGCATAGAATGTAGAGAATGGTATACTGTTATAACGAAGTACCAAAGATAACACACAGTTGGCAAACAGTGGATTGTGTCTATTCTTTATTACTAAGAATATAGACATCTAATCCGATGAAAATATATAGCTGGCTCGGTTGAGCAGTCCTGTTTGCGGATCATAGAAAACTGAAGTGTCTTGAAATCATTATTTATTACATATCATATCAAAGTTCAAAGAAATAATTGTACTGTGTTTGCATGTTAGCGCTAAATCCTGAATTGTTAACGAAATTACATTATAATATGTAATGTTTTTTCTTAAATTTATGATTTAGAGACATGAGTTACTATTATTTAAATTGATTATCATTGCAAGTGAGATGATGAAATGAAAAATTAGTCTACTTGAACTGATAAACAAATTATATAAAAAAGAGCTTATATGATGCTAGTCATAAAAAATGTTATTATCTTTAATATTATATATATAATTATATAATGCGTTAATTGGTGTTCACTTTTGTAGAGATACATATACATATGTATGTAATAAAATATTGCAAATTTGAAATTTATGATTATTTAAATAACATACCTTATTTAAATTCAATCGGGAAGAACTTGGCGCTAAAAACAGGTGCGATGCAGCTGCCCTTGGTCACGAACTAAATTCGACTGATCTGAGCCTACATGCGCAGAATGAATATAAGATTACCCTTAGCCAATCATAAACCAGTATTAGTTTGGCGCGAAACACTTACTTAAATGTTATTGGTTCTCATTTCGCGCCAGTTTAAACGTCATGATATCTACTGACAGAACATTGGCTGCTTTTCCTATCTTAAGTATATTAATTCATGCTTCGATAAACCAATCAAATTCATACAAATTCAAATTTAAACTCGAAAGAGACGCTTTTCAAATGGCAGTTACTCGTGTACTAACATGTCAGTGTCGCACGATATAAGCGAATCATGTAAATGTTATTAAGAAAGTGAATTAATATTGTATGTGTTATTTAACGATTAAGAGAAAATATTATTAAGTGAAAATGTCGGACAGTATAAAAGTTGCCATTAAAGTAAGACCCTTGATTAAACGCGAGAAAGACGAAAACCTACCGATACAATGGGCAGTTCAAGGAAATTCTATTGTTTCCACAGATTTAGAAATGAAAAAGCGTGGAGATGGAGGATTCTGTTTTGGTATCTACTAATTACTTATGCATTTTTGCTGTTAAATTCATGTAATTGATGTACTAGCTTCTAACTTATATTTTCAGATCATATTTTTGATATGAACACATCTAATTCACACATATTTGGTACTATTGTGAAACCGATTGTTAATGCTGCTGTAAATGGTTTTAATGGAACAGTATTTGCATATGGTCAAACAAGTTCTGGTAAAACATACACTATGATGGGTACCATGGAGGAGCCTGGCATTATACCACTTGCTATTGAACACATGTTTGATGCTATTGCTAACACTGCTGGTCGTGAATTTTTATTAAGGTTTTATATATTTCTACTCGTACAAAATAATTTGATAATTTAATATTTTAATACCTAATAATTTTTGGACATCTTATGTTGCAGAGTATCATATTTAGAAATATATAATGAAAGAGTTAATGATCTTTTGAACAAGGGTGGCACTGATTTAAAACTGAAAGAAGATAGTAGTGGGCAGGTGATTGTAAAATGCAAAGAAGAAATTACAAATAGTCCTGAAAACGTGTTAGCTATAATGAAGAAGGGAGATAAAAACAGGAGAATAGGAGAGACTAACATGAACGAGCGTAGTAGTAGAAGTCATACCATATTCAGAATTGTAAGTTTACATTAATTAACAGATATTTGAAATATAATGTTCTAACATAAATTTTGTGGTCAGACAATTGAAAGCAGAGAAGCTGCAGGAGATTCAGATGGTGCCATTCAAGTATCTCAATTAAATTTGGTAGATCTTGCTGGGTCTGAAAGAGCCCGGCAAACAGGAGCAACTGGCGAGAGATTCAAAGAGGGGAGACACATTAACTTGTCTCTTTCTACATTAGGATTAGTAATTATGCAATTAAGTGAATCACAAGATGGTCAAAAACACGTTAATTTCCGTGACAGTAAACTAACAAGGTTACTGCAGAATTCATTAGGTGGTAATGCTATGACTGCAATAATATGTGCTGTAACTCCTGCTGCTTTGGAAGAAACTCAGTGTACTTTATCGTTAGTACTATTTTATCTACCGGAATAGTTTCTATATAATTCCACTATGTAACTATTTTTATGAAAATTTATTTTTTAATGTTTAGTTTTGCATCTCGCGCCAAAAGTGTGAAGAACAAGCCACAAGTTAATGAAGTTATGTCTGATGCAGCGCTCTTAAAACGATATGCAAAACAATTAGTTAAACTCCAAGAAGAATTACAGGTTCATGACTTAAATTTTGACGACTAATAATATTGATATTTCTGGGAACGCAAATTTATAATTAAATTTATTATTTCAGAGAATAAAACATGAAAATCGGTCCGCGGAAATGGAAGAAATGGAGTCTAAACTGCAAGAAAAAGATCGTATTAATCAGTTATTGGAAGAGCGCATAGAACTATTAAAAACTCGCATTGTTTCCGGAGATATTACGAATCAAGAAGAATCATTCAAATGCAGATCTAAAAGAAGACAGACATGGGGTGGTCCTGGAATGTTTAACCAACACTTAACTGTTTTTCAGCCTAAAACTAGTTTACCGACTATAAAAGAAGTATCGTTTGAAAAGTCGGATAGGAAAAGTATCATTCAATCAATGGACTTTATGCATCAAAGTAATTGTCAAATTTTTAAATTACGTATAGTTCGTGATTTTTATAACATGTTTTGATTTGTTTCCCGTAGCATTTCAAACAGAATTTGCTGACTTCGAATTAGAATTATTTGAAAGCGAACGAGATCGCGAGAACAGCGACAGTGATGACGAGCCGTATATTACAAAACGTAATCATCGTGTTACATTTAAGGACGACGTATACACCATTAAATCTAGGAACAACAGCTTCGAAAATTCACCGGAAAAGTATGAGACAGCAACTCAAACAACAAGGTAAAAATTGGAAATAACAAAGAGTTATTTATTCGTATCATTTGTATTTATATTTAAAAATTTATAGTTATCAGTTCTCTCCATCCACTCCAAAACATGTTTTACGGCAACGCATCACTGATTTGACGAAAGAGTTCACAGAACTCCGTGAGTTTACTACTTTAGAGAAACAAGTACTATGTCAAGAAAATCATTGTTTCGCACGAGTAAGTATAAAGGTCCTTATAAAATTTTATAAACTAAAGTCCGCTCTGGGAATCTCTGAAATGTATGATTAATGAATTGATTCTCTGATATAATTTTCATCTTCATTTTTTAAGGAAGAGGCACAAATTCTTCTAGGGATGAAAAATCAATTGGAATGTGGTATTGGTTTAAACGAAGTTGAAGAAATAAATGCGGCCATAGCAGGCTATGACATGGGACTTATTTCGGAGGTAAAAAAACGACTAACCGATCTTAATCTTACGGAAGAAAAGGATGTAAATCGCATAATTATTGAACTGTGCATAAAATTGAACGAAGTTGAGAAACAAAATTCCTTGGAAAAAGATGAGCGTCGTAAACTAATGGGACAGTATTCAAAATTGGAAAAGCAGATTGAAAATGTGACTGCTGAAAGAAACGAATTTGAATTTATCAGTCGCGAACTGCGTGCAGAACTAAAGAAGAAAACAGTGGAATTAGAGTTAAAGAACATGTCAGAGGAGAATATGAAACAGCCAGAATTGAACAAAATTTCAGAACTGGAGAAACAGATTGAGAGTATCACTTCTGAGAAAAACCAATTCGAACGTAGTAACATGGAGTTGCGTGCCGAATTATCGAAGAAGACTACAGAATTGCAAAAGCAGATTGAAATTATTAATTCCGAAAGAAATGAATTCGAACATATACGTCGTGAATTGTGTAAGGAACTGAATAAAAAATCTTCAGAATTGGAAAGATTGAAGAATGGTTCATATGTTGAAGATGTGCAGACAGTGGAAGCAGGGAAAGAGATTGAAAGTATGAAGTCCGAGGAACAGAAATCTGAGCAAACTAATGGAGAATTAGAATCTGCAATAAATTCAGAATGCGTTAAAATTGAAACTGTAATGTCTGAGGAAAACAATGTTGAATGTATTAATCACGAACTTGATGCAAAAGCAACGCCTCAACAAACTGAAAGTCAAAAAACAGTGGAACTGGAAGAAATAATTGAAAGTTTAACAGTAAAGAACACAGAACTTGAGAGTACCATTAGTGAGCTACATGTTGCGTTAAATCAAAAAACTTCCGAACTTGAAAATAACAAAGTATTACAAGAAACAGAACATCAGGAAGCTACAGAAAAGATCTCTAGACTAGAAGAACAGATTGAGAACATGACATTCAAAAATAATGAACTGGAACGTATCACTGCTGAACTACGTACTGAATTGAATGCGAAGATGTTAGATGAAGCGGAGAATCAGAAGAATCTGGAAAAAATTTCTGAATTAGAGTCACAGGTTGCTAACATAACAACAGAGAAGAATGAAACGGAACGTATGCTTAGTGAACTACGTATTGAATTGAATCAGAAAACTTCCGAACTTGAAGCTAATAAAGTATTACAAGAGACTGAAAATCAAGAAACTACAGCAAAGATCTCTAAACTGGAAGAACAGATTGAGAACATGACATTAAAAAATAATGAATTGGAACGTACCATTGCAGAATTACATGCTGAATTGAATAAGAACTCTTTTGAATTGAATGAGGAAATTTCTGAACTGAAGGGAAAATTATTAGAAGAGAATCAGGAGAAAGTGAAACAAATTTCTGAATTTGAATCACAAATTACTAATTTGATAACAGAGAAGAATGAGTTGGATCAAATGATTAGTGAATTACGTACTGAAGTGGATCAGAAAACTTCTGAACTCGAAGCCAACAAAAAATTACAGGAAACTGAAAATAGTGGAACAATGGAAAAAATATCTGAACTAAACAGACAAATTGAAAACATGACGGCGGTAAATAATGAATTGGAACGTGTTACTACTGAATTACGTGCCACGTTGAGCGACAGGACTTCTGAATTGAATGCAAGAATAACATCAGAAGAAATGAAAAATCGTGAAGCCCTGGAGAAGATATCTGAACTTGAGAAACAAATCGCTGATGCAATGTCTGAGAAGAAGGAACTTGAATGTGTAAACGATGAACTGCATGTCAAATTAAATCAGAAGATTTCTAAGCTTAAGAGAAACACGACATTGAACCTATGTGAAAATGAGGAGTTAATGGGAATGATTTCTGAATTAGAGAAAGAAATCAATGATATAACGTTTGAGAAATCTGAATTCGAAAGTATCTATATTGAATTGCAGGAAGAATTAGCTCAGAAAACTTCTGAATTAGAATTGAAGATTATATCGGAAGAAAAGGCAACGGAAATGATTTCTGAATTAAATAAGCAAATTGAACGTGTGACGCTTGAAAGAAATGAATTTGATCGGCGTAATAATGAATTAAATGTCCAGCTGAATGAAAAGATTTCTGAATTGCAGGCAAAAATTATGTCAGAGCAAACTGCAATGCAGAAGATTGTTGACTTGGAGAAACAGATTGAAACTATTACTTCAGAAAAGGGTGAATCTGATCATGCTAGACGTCAAGATATTTTAGAATCAAGGAGTGAATATGATTACATAGGCGAGAATAAAAATTTGAAAAATTGCGTACAAAATTTGGAAGATAGTCTACTGAATATGAAAGCAGAAAATCAAGACTTGAGAGACCAGTTAGAAAATCAGTCCATGTTGTCTTACTCTAGAGTCAATGAAAGCACTGGAGACATTTCAAATTTACTTGTAAACATGGAAGCAGAGAAAAACGAACTGGAAGAAACTCTTCTATTAAAAAGTCAGGAGCTAGAGGACATAAAAAATGACGTTCGAGATCTGAAAACAGACATTAAAAAATTGCAAGATACTATTTATTTGTTAACAACCGAAAATATGGAGATAGCTACTAAGTTAACTACTGAACAAGAAAACGCAAAGCAGACAGAACTTAATCTTCAGAAGACAATCGACGAACTTTATGCACGAATTGCTGACATTACAAACGAGAAAATTAATTTGGAAAACGATTTAGCGACTGTGAAAGATCAGTTGGAATCTCTACGTTTTAAAATGTCAGAAATACCTAATGAAGAAAATTTATTTGCAACGTATCAGAGTAAAATTGATAAGCTAACAGCGGAAAACATTGAATTATCAACAATAGTCGCGGAGAGAAATAAGGAATTCCAGAATATTAAAGAAAGTAAATCGTTGTTGTATGATCACGAATGTACTTATAAAGAAAAATTGGCTATTCTTACGGAAAAGAATAAATGTTTAACAGCGGAAAATGATGAGCTTTCAACTGATTTAATTGATAAAATAGAAGAGAATGATATGCTGAAGGAACAGTGTAATATATTAAAAAATAAAACAGAAGAATTGTTGGCAAAAAATGCGAACTTAGATGAAAATGGTATAGAACATTTGAAGGTAGAGAATAATAATTTGAAAGGAGAAATTGCAGAACTGAAGACTAAGGTAACTATACTGTCTGATGAAAATGCAAAGTTTTCAAATAATTTATTGAAAACTATGGAAGAACTTGAAATTTCTCGCCATGAAAAATCATATGATAATACCTTACACTTGTCAACAATATTTAAAAACACTACAGAGATTAGTGATGAAAGCGAGGCTCCACAGGAAGAAAATTATGAAACATTGAAAAACAAAGTTACAACACTACAAAACGAAATTGATCAGTTAACATGTTTGAACAGAAAACTTAGTGACTTGAAATTAACTTCCTGCAGCCAGTGCTCTCATTTGAGGAGTCTGAATGAAAGCCGCAGATCTCTTAAATTGGAATCAAAAATTTTGAACCAGAAACTCAAAGATTTACAAAGAAAGTTTGATCTGAAGTGTCAGAATGCTGAAATTCTTAAACAGAAAGTTAATGAAGACTTGAACCTAAGCGACAATAATGATTCCTTAAATGTTAGTTTTGTAAACGAGGCGGACATCACCTTTGTTGAAGAAAAGATTCAGAATTTAAATGATGAAGTGCAAACTTTAAAGGTTGATTATGACAAGTTATCAATTCTGTATGAAGATAAATGTAACGAATTGAAGAAACTTCAGAGTGGTGTTATTGTAAATGTGAACCATACTAATGACAATGCAACACTGAAGAAAGATTTGAACAGGAATGAAAATAGAGTATGTCAAATTCAGAGTTATGTTGATCAATTAAAGAATGAAGTGGATGAAATGAAGAAAAACAGCATGAATTTTAGTACCACGTTTAATGAATTTAAAGCAGAGAAAGGAAATCTATTACATGAAATTGAAACATTAAGACAACTGAATGAAGAACTGCAACAAAAGGTAAGGAACAATGAAAGTACAGCAATAAATAAGATACAAATTCTTGAAAACGATTTGAATAACATGAGTAAAGAAATTGAGCAATTTTCTGCGCGAGAAAAAGAATTTGAAAGTCAAAGGCTGATGTTGGAAGTAGAATTGGAAAACTTAAGAACTGAAGAAGAAAACAAATGTACACTGATTGCTCGATTAAGTAAATGTATTTCTAAATTAAACAGTGGATTACATTTAATAAAAAATGAGAAAGATGATACAGTTGATTCAAATATAATTAAAGATAAAGAAAAAGAATTAGAACTTCTAAAGAAACAATGTGAAGACTTGCAAAAGGAAAAGATGCAATATAAAGAACAGGAACAGTATAATATGTCAAAAATGAAGGAGTTAGAAGCATACATAAATAATTTACAAACAACCATAATGAATAAAGAATCCTTGTTTACAGAGCTTCAACAGAAATCATTTTATCTTGAACAGCTTCTGCAAGAAAATGAACAGGAGAAACATATTCTTATGCAGAAATTACAAGGAGCTGAAAGTGAGGTGCTTAATTTCAAGAATAATCTAGAATCGTCTTATAAAAATGAATTTAATTTAATATCACTACAATATCAACAACGTCTGCAAGAATCTGAAAACAATTTACAACAATTAAATGATACATTAAACAAATATGTTGGCGAAAATTTAAAGTTAACAGAAGAACTCAGTGGTTTACAAAATATTAAACACAAGTTTAATGAATTGATGAATGAAAGAGAGCAAATACTTAATGCCAAAAATATGCTGAACAGTGAGAATGAAAAACTGAAAGAAGAATTAAATGATATTAAAGCATGTATGGTTAAAGAATTGAAATCCCTTAAATGTAATATAAGTTTGGCAGATATTTCAGATAAATCCATAAACAAAATCTTTACAGTTTTATTGCAGACGTTTATATCGAAAGAGGCCGAGGTAATTAAAAGTATACGTGAAACGTGCGAAAAGGACAAACAAAAATTGGAGGAAGAGAAACAACAGTGCAAAGATATAGAGAAACGTACTACGATATGGGCTAAAGAATTGGAAGCAGAAGTCGAGAAGCTTCAGTCTGAGATCATGGAAAGAGAGCATGCCCATAAAGAGTACCAGAATAAAATTTCTCAGTTGGAACACCTTTTGAAAGAGAGCACTAATGAAAACCAGATGCTCAAAGAAAAGATAGAGGAGTTAGAAATCGATTTCAGCAATCTACAAACTGAATTGGACAAGCAATGCAAAATTGATACCCAGCAAGAAGAGGTGAGAGTTATTTTACAGAAACGGGAGCAAGAAGCACAGAAGACACTTAAATACAAGGAAATGGAGTTGCAATCAAAGCTCAAAGCCGAAAAGGATATGTACGAGAAAAGAATAAATGAACTGGTTTATAGTATTGAATCTTACAAAACAAAGAACTTAGAATTAACTAGCAATATTGAGGGACTGGAGGCCAATGAAAAGCAGCTGAAGAATATTATAGAAATAAAATCAAATGAAGTAAAAAGAAGTAATCAAAATATAGAGCAAATGAACATGGAACTTGAACAATTTTCAGTGGCTTATAATAAACTGAATCAGGAGATGGATGAAAAGAATTCTCACATTGAAGAAATTACTGCAATCTTGAAGAGCAAGTGTGATACTCTTTCAGAATACAAAACCAAACTTGAAACGATTATACCAGAATATGAAATGTTGAAGGAACATGTGAAGGACCAAGCAGCTGTTATACAGCGGCATAAAGAAGAAATAGAGACAATAAGGAAGGAGAGAGAAGAAGAATTAGTAATTATCAAAGATAAATTGAATTCTGAAGAAATAAAGAGTGCCGGGTTAAGCAAACAACTGAATGAATTGAACAATAAAAATATTTCTTTGATAGAAGAACTGAATGACTTGAAAGAAAAGTATGAAGATCTAAAGGAAGCAAATATAAAATTAGAAAAGAAGATTCGAAATAGTACCAGCAAGATTAAAGCAGAGGCTGAAATAGAAGAGTTCAAAGAATTAAACAGAAGATTGCAAAATAATTTGGAAGGCGCGAGCAATCGTGTGGTGGAACTTCAAGAAGCAAAGAGTCAGACTTTGAAAGAACTAGTTGATCTGAAAGGTAAATATGAACTTACGCTACAGGAGAACGCTGAAATGAAGACAACATTATCGTTGTACAAATCGAAATTCTCTACTTCGAGTTCGATGATAGACGAAACCAAGTACGACGCACTTTTGTTGGAAAAAAATAAAATTGCGTTAGAATTAGAAGGTAACAAATTGATGTTAAATAGGAAGAACGAAGAACTTAAGCAATCTGCGAGTAGAATACAGCAATTAACGGACGAAAATAAGGAACTAGATACGGAGTTGGATGAGTATGCAGCGACGATCCGAGAACGAGATGCCGAAATTTCAAAACTAGAAATTAAATTGTACGAGGTCGAACAGAAACTGGAAAGTATTACCGAGGAAAAGAAGCAACTTGAAGATCAAGTACAAGCACTTAAAAAGTTACAATCCAATTTGGAAGGTGCATCGCACTACACTGCAGAGTTTGAGAAGGAAAGAAATAAATTAATAAAAGAATTGGAAGCACAGAAATTACTGTTAAATCAAAAGGACAATGAGCTTAAGGTATATGTCCATAATGTTCAACAGTTAACAATAAAAAACAAAGAACTTTGTAATGAATTGAATAAATACAGTAATTTATCTTTACGTACATCAGACGACAGTATAGTTAATACTTTAAAAGAAAAGCTAGAAATGTTTAAGGTGGAAAACAGAAAGCTTAAAAATGAAATTGAAGAACTTGAAATAAAATTAAAGGCGAGTTCGTATGATAGAGGAGTCACGCTAAGAAAAGAGAATACTAAACAGTTACAAGTTTCACAGAATAAAAGTGTTGGTGAACAGGAGGAGGATAAGTATCAACAGCTAAAAGATAAGATTCGTGAGCTAGAACTCGAGATAGTGTTGAAGAATGGGAAGATCGCAACATTAGAAATTCAAATCCAAAGTGAAAACTTCCCGCATCAAAGGAAGTGTAAAGAACTGCAAGAATTAGTACTTGCATTTCGCAATAAGGTATGTATAACAAATTATAGGAAATTATTGAAATTTTAAATATATAATTTCATTTGTAGAATGCAGCATTAAATGCTGAAATTAAGAAGCTGCAAAAGACCGTGAATGACGACAACGCGTGGAGTTGTGAGATTTGTAGGCGATGGCGTGTAAACAGGAGAGATCAAGCTTGCCAGACAATACCTAACACCACAATACGCTTTTGCGGCAGTAATAGCGGAGTTGTTGAGGTAATTATCAGTATATGTCTGTATTACTTTGCATTAAATCTGTAAGGTATATATTCTGAATTATAATTTTCCAGGACCATATAAAAATGGAAAAGTTAGAGAAAGAAAAGAACATAATGAAAGAGTTGTGCCGCTCTAGACTAAGACACATAAAAAAATTAGAAGACAGAATAAAGGAACTAGAAGATACTCTTGCTTTAAAAACGAATTGACACTATCGACAACAGGCGTCTTACTTTGAGCTAAAAAATTATTTTATTTCTTCATAACATGTTTTTATCAAAGCATACAAAAATTCATTTATTTATATATGTATATATATGTATAATATTGTGCAATTAATCTATATTTTTAAAAACAATAATTACAGGTATCAAAAAATGTAAATAACGTCGAATTCACACTGATGTCTGTTTTAAAATTAAATCTGTGATTCGAAAAATTATTTTTCTATGGTATTATTGACTTAAACATATAACGAATAAATAATGACAACAGATATTTCAGGATTGTTGTAATTTTTGTTTCTTTACCTTGTACTTGGGTATAAACTTTTTAGGTCTTTTTTCACCAACCTTTTTTTCGAAGAGATCTGTAACAAAAAAATTAATTAATTATAGTATGTTAAAGAATTATAGCATATTAAAAATTGCAATTACCTTCATCGGGTTCTTCGCCTACTTCTTCGCGATAATATTGCGCATCGTCATCTTCTTCTATTTTAGTTTCTTCGACAGATTCTTTCGCAATTTTTTGCATTAACAATTCGCTTTCTTTCTTCTTCTTTTCCATTCCTTTCAAAGATTTTTCCTTGTGTTCTTGTTTCTGAAGTTCCTTTTTCTTCTTATTTTCTTCTTGTACCTTTTTCCGCTTTTCCTTCAACTTCTTCTTTTCTTCCCGTTTCTTCATTATTAACAACTTTTCTTCCTCTGATTTCTGAACGTACTTATGATAAAGTACTTCACCATCCAACAATCCATCTTCAACTTTTATTAACTAAAAATATTACTTAGAAAAAATTGTAGTTCCAATAATTATTTCTAAATTTCAATAACAAAATATTTCTAACCTCTAATGTTAATCTAGGACCTATTTCAGAAAGTCTAATTGCACTTTGACTGTTTACATGATTACCACGCGATGATAACTTCTGTGGTAATGTAACGTGACTCGCAGGATCATCTTCGGCTTCACTTTCCGAAACTGTTCCTTTTGTCAAAAAGTCAGAAAAATCCTCGCATTTGGACAAATTTGGTACCTTAGCTTGAACTAATTTTTTTACACCTTTCGATAAACCGACAGGCACGACTCTAATAGCATAATGCCGTAAATCAATTGTTTCTGTTGTTGAATTATAATTTAAACATAAACATCGACGAATAGTACTCAGGTTAACCTGGAAAGTGATAAAAATATTATCACATAACATCAAATTACGACTTCAAAATACCATTGCTGAAACCACATTTTTAAACTTACAGAAGTCAAATTTATTGTAGGAAACATATTTTGAAACATAGAAGCAATAAGCTTTAATTGCATGCCTTCTCCACTAAAATTATTTAATACTACTAATGGTGAATTCTTAAATAATTCATCATATACCATTTGCTTTTTTAATGTAGATATTACATCTCTTGCTAAGGAGAAACTATGTATTTTAAAAGTAAGGGTTGGTCCCCTTGGTAACCTGTTGTACAATTATTTTTTGATTATTAAAAAATGTTAATTAATAAAAATATGACTGGCACAACTAAATTTGGTACCTGCAAAGTTTAAAATACATTCCTTGTTCCGTTCTTGTAAACATACACATATGTGTAACATGGAGAATACTAGCTACAGATACAAAATCTTTAAGTGTATTTTTCTTCCTTTCTTTTAAGGACACTGCAGTATATGGTTCCATTATTTTTCGAAAGTCTTTAGTAAGTTCAACAATATGTTCACCAAGTAATCCACGGTGAACAACAAATGAATGAGGTGCATTAACTACATTTGGACTTTCTTCTAGATTAAGTTGTTTATTCCTTTTTACACAACGACCCTGTAAAATTGTTATGCATAATTATTATCTATATTAAAAGTTGCCTCAAATTTATTATTATAAGTACTAATATAATAACAGTTCTGTTTATGTAAAATGAACCTTATCAAAACTGTTTAAATTTATACAAAAATACTTAATGATTATTGTGGTATTGACTTAATTATAAAATGTTTTTCCATTTACAATTAATAAAAATAATTATTATTTGAAATTAAAGTGATTACCTTTTTATGGCGCCCCATGATTTATATTTGAATTTAAGGTTAAGTGAGGTTATGTTCAAAATCACGTGTTTACCATGAACCTGAATATGAATTGTTGAGCTATTTTCTTACGTAAAATTTTCAAACAAAGAAATTCCAACGTGATTTTGCTAAATATCTATATCAGTTTTATCTTTGTGTTGTGGCATGTGCAATTCCATTGGGTACATGCAACTTCCATTGGGTACGTGCTGTTTCTATAGGAACGTAGAATTTCTTGTTGGGCCCTGCACTTAATTACAACTAAAATGATCAAAAAAAAGAGCGAACAAAAAATTGTATACAATACATTAATGGTTTAATTTTATAAAGGAGTTTTAAATTATAAAATTGCAAAGGGGATAAATAATATATTATATTGAAATTTGATATAAAATGTTGTATGCGAAATCAGTGAAAGTATGTACGCTCCTGTTTTGCACGTGGTACGCGAGACTTTTGTTGCACACGGAATTGAGGCGCAACATATAAAAGATGAGCATGACAGAAGATTCATCAATATCAAAAAGTGTAACTCATCTGACAAGTAATCATTGGATTCAAAGGCTTACAAAGAAAAATGGTGGGATCAAAGTGTGCAAACGGTAAGTGACATTGATTTTAAGAAATTATACGACTCTGAAGAATTTTTAACGTATTAGATTTTTTTGGCACTTTATGTTATGTTTTTTATCGATATTTTGTTATTGTAGCTAACAGCCGAAACTGCTGCGACAATTGCGGCAATAAAAGCAACTGTTGTTGTGTTCCAAAATGCGAAGGTAATGATTATAAAAATTATTTACAGTATTTTATTTCGAAACAGAAATCACATCAGGTCTTTTGTCTATGACAAGTAGTTTATTATCAGAAACGTATAAAAGTTGTTGATTCAATTTTCTTTCATAGGTAAATGTTGTTGCTCTGATGGACAATCTTGTTGCACAACTGACAAGCAACCTAACAACCCAACTGAGAAGCAATGCTGCTGCTCAGCTGATAAACAATGTTGTTGCTCAAGTGACAAGCAACCTAGCTGCCCAACTGGGAAGCAATGCTGCTACTCAGCTGATAAACAATGTTGTTGCTCAAGTGACAAGCAACCTAACAGCCCAACTGAGAAACAATGCTGCTGTTCAGCTGACAAACAATCTTGTTGCACAACTGACAAGCAACCTAGTTGCCCAACAGGAAAGCAATGCTGCTGCTCAGCTGACAAGCAATCTTCTTATCCAACTGCAGGACAATGTTGTGAAACGAGCTGCAAATGTTAAACAGAAGATTATCCCATATTATTCTATACAGTATTATATCGAGAGCAGTTAATAGATTATATTACTATCAAATAAAAACTTAACGCAATTGAAATTTCTGTGTAATTCCTATTTTCATACATGCAAGTTTTAAACCATACACTTCCGAGTATGGAAGTCCACCGCTAGATGGCTCTAATGTTTCTTGACGCTTTTTCGCTTTTAGCAAATTAAAATATTATTCTATATATATAAATAATTTTCCTGCAATACAAAATAAAAGATCATTAGATGTTTAAATATGGTAGAACAAATATTAGTACACTTGTGCATTATTCTTTGTTACGGGGCATGCGCAAATCAGTTGAGCTGATATGCGCACACGAGTCTCGCCTTCTCATAAGTGAGGTCTTCCGTGGTCGAGTTCAGAAGACAGTTTCTCATTACCCGATCATATACATCGTACAAAAATATATGAGGGGAAGAAGCGATAATTTAGGAAAAAATACTAATTGAAAAGTCACTGGATATATATACACGTTCACCATTTCAAATATTATTCAAACCCCTACGCGTTACCTTTAGTTACAGAAGAAACATTATTTAAAAAACACATTTCTTCACAACAGGAATTTTATATTTAAAATTAGTAATTAAATAGAATTATAAGTAACTCAATATTATATGATAATTGTAAAAATTATGATTTCAAGAACTACTTATAAAATGTTTTAACGTAACTAAGCTATTTCATTTATCCTTTGCTACCCTTTTACTTATAAATGCTCTAAAAAAAATAAAATCTGCAATTTCCATGAGATATTAAAGATTTTTTCTATTTATGCAAGTAGGTAATTAAACATTCCTACTTATTTCTCTTCCACGTTTTATTGTTTTTGTGTTGTTCAAATCCAAAGCCCATAGAAAGTACAATGAGAGATCATGAAACTGTCTGATTTCCCTTCTCACTCCATTATGAATCTCGGTAATGACTACAGTTGTTCACCGCGTGGAAGGATTCATTGTCTGGAAGCGCGGGAACTTCGGTGCGACTTGTTAAGCTAAGAAAACTGTTCTCACGGTGCAAAGTTCACGGCTAACGCGTCGATCTTTATCTATGTAGCCATGCCGTGGACCCCTTAAGTCGTTACGTGCTAAAATTACGTCGTCAATAACAAGGATGTAAAATCTTCGAAAATAATCTCGTTTCCACGACTTTGCTTTTCTTGAACCTGTAATTTTCTCAGTAAACAAATTTGATCACGAATCTTTTACTTATAAATACACATACTTATTGTTTCCCTTAAGAAATTTATTTGCACTAAAATAAAAGTTAGCTGTAGTGGACGTCATTAGCAAAAGTAACACCAAAATAAGCTTCTTTAATATCTAAAGGCAAAGAGTGTAAAGATACTGGTGTCCATAGATATCTAGAAAACCAGAAGTTCAGTAATATACATCCATACACTGTTTCATTTTTATAGTTATAGATTTTACCGTATATCTTCATTCAGTTACGTTGAAATTATATTTTACAGTTTGCTATGTTCTAATGCTTTATCAATACACATATGTATGTACATTCTTCCTCTCTTCGTTCCACATCCTTGATTCCGCACGTACTTTTAGTAACGAATGAAAACGCTAGACCGTGTTAAACGAATTTAACGACAATAATAGAATGCACGATCAATTATAGCAGTGTTTCAGTTATGTTACCAAATGCATGGACAGGAACGGCTGAAAGTCTTCGACGTAAAGGGACGACGGTTCTTTATCGTAGTTCCGGCATTATCCTTTGACAGTTACGCTTTGAGCACAGTGATTCGTCAACGACGACCGCGGATAATAGTCGCGGTACGCTGCACCGGCTGTGCCGAGGTAACGTCTGCCATATGCCAAGCTAGAAACCGGCCGTGATTTTTGCCGGCATCGCTGCCGTCAAGAAATCGAAAAACAGAAATAGAAGCCTGTTCTTCAACTATCTAACGAATAATCGAGTTATGTATTAGGCTGGCCAAAAAGTTATTGACCAGAAATTCCATTACAAATATTACGTTGTTTTCTTAAAGTACAAGAATGATCAAGATCTTCGTTTAAGCATCATAATGATTTTTTGTCATAAGTGACTTAACACTTTCCTGCACAGAATAATGAGCTGCATGAAATGATGCATTAAGAAATATATGATTCCGTTTAATAAAAGGAACTTGATCTTTATTTTTCATCTACCTTCATCACCTTCATCAGACAATTTGCCCCCTGAAATCATGTAACTTTTATTAAAACATGTTTTTGTATCATCAATATTTTCAAAGATGTCTATGTGGGTTTAAATGGATCTAAATACCTTTATAACATTTGGAATAGATTTTATAAACAAGACTATTTAATCAATGCCATAAATAAACAAGGGATAAGTAAACTTTTAAATATGTGAACTTAAACCTTTGGACATGATTTTATTTATAATTGAGTAACTAAATAGTCGAATGAATTCCAATATAAATAATCTTTATTTTCTTCATTTAAATAATCCGTAGAAACTTAACATCCCAAATTAAATAGATAAGTAAATAAATAATATTTTTCAGCTACAGCTTCGCACATGTACGTTTCTTCGTACCATGCACTGTTGCCATCTGCCGGCGTTCTTTGGTCTTACAACTATAAATAGAGTGGAATTGTATGAAATACAAATAAAGAACATAAATTTCATACTTGACGCACTTACCATTTCGATTAATAAATGTTAAAGTATCGTAAAATGTACAGTACACATTTATTGTGTACTCTGTTCAGTTGTAAGTGCATTAGCACGAAGCGTGTTAGTAGTCGTATTTGAAGTGGATGATGAACAGGAACTGCAGCTACAACTGCAAGAGGAACTGAAACTGGAATTGGAACAACTGCTCGAGCTTGATTTGCTAGACAGATTTGCAACATGGAAGTTGATGTCCAAAAATTCGGTATTATTTGAAACAACAGTTTTGCCGTATCCTTCGTCGCCCGATGACGAAGTTGTACTGCTGTCGCTAAGATTTCTTCTTTTGACACCAGGTGGAAGTTCCGGCTCGACTGGATCGTAACTAACAGTGGTCGTACCGTACATTTCACGAACAATTTTAATTTCTTGTAACTTCTTCTCTTGTAACGGTATTCGTTTCGTCTTTACCTTTCTTCTTTTCCCGTTTTTCAGTTTTTCTTTCAATAAATACTGAGCTCTAATTCGTTTTAAACGAGGCCTAATATAATCTTGACATACGTCGTTTTCTTTTTTCTCGTCGTCAGTACTAGAAGTTGAATAATCGACAGTTTTTTCTGTAGCGGATGTGTCGTCTTCGTTGGCTGGTACAATATTTTCTTTTAAATTTAATTCAGCGTCTGACGTGGATAATTCAACTTCTAGAAAATTTGACGCGATGATTGCTAAGTTCTCGTCTACGCTTTTATCACAACCTGTTTCGTCTTCTATATTTTTACGAAAAGATGAATCGTGAAAATCAGAACCTTTGTTACACAAATTTTTAACAGCATAATTAAAATAATTAATACAGTATTGACTTTCATTGTTATTGCAAAAGTCCATACTCGTGCCATAATACAATAGTGCCAGGATTTCCGAATTTTTATTAGTTCGTCCATTTTGTTCATTATCGATATGCTCGCAGTTTTCTTTTTCACTTTCTGATGACAATAATGAAGGAATCTCTACGTCGGATGTTGAATAGTTATCGTAGATTTTCTGTGGAAAAATATTTTCATCAAATTGTTAATCTTTTCAAGATCGTCAATTATGGCATACAGCAATTGACCGCCTTCACGTGTTTGACAGCGCATGTAGGTAACAAAAAAAATGAAAGCTCGCAAGCATTTTAAAAGTAGTACTAATGAGTTCTTGTAAGAATCTGAATTGGCAGGAAACGATAAAGCAAATTAATTTAAATAAACAATGTACTTACAGATTTCCGATTGAAGCGTCGAAGTCGCACGTCTTTCGATACCGGTCGAAGCCACGTGCTGCTCTGTGTTCGTAAGTTAAAAAAATACGTTTGTCCCGGGAACCTTACGGATTCGCATTCGATCCAATTGTAGGTTTCTTGAAAGTTACCGAATTCATTTTTTGGGACTTCATTCTTATTTTCATTGACATTGTCACTTTCTGTAAATAATGATGTCTCACTCTGAGACTGAAAACTATACGAATCACACGAACTCATATTTCGGTAGAAAATAATACATAGCGTCATTACATGAAGTGTGTCAAACAAAGATAATCCATCACGTGTTCACAAAAGCATATTCGAATGAAAATCCGCGGGGCGCCCTCTCAACGAATCGCAAATAAGAAGGACAATCTATATAAACAAAACCGTAGCAGTGACCTTATCGACGCCGTGAGGACTAGACCGTTTTTGTTCGGATTAACGAGTGGGTCGTCGCGCAGTTTGAAAAGTAAACGGAATCGGTTTCGGAAAAGTGACGCGTTACATTAGTCGTGAAAGAGTTTCTTATGTCGAGCATGTATTTTTTGTGCATTGTGTTCTATCGTTTGTTGTTCGCGCCTATTGTTCCGTTTCCAATTTGTGCAAAGTGCATCGATGGAGCATGGACATTACCATACCTTGTTAATTTGGATTGCAAATCTCGGATTGTATTAAACGGACTGCCCGGAAGTTCAACGGGGAACAGCAAATAAGCTGATACAGGTACGTGTGTTTATTGTTTTCACGATATTTCCGTTCGATTCTGTTCGTGGAAAAAACGAGCAAGATTCGAATCTTAGCGTGCTTGTTTGTGACAGTCGATTCGTTCGGCGTCAGAATGTTCTAGAAAATTTTAGAAATAGAAAGGAATGATTTTTGCGTTATAAGAGTGGGAAATTACTGAAACTGGTAATATTTTGGGTTAATCAAGGAGTTCTTTAACGTATTTAAACAAAATTTTACTTTGAATAGAGAATCGTAATGCGCAGATGCGTAAAAGGGCGCCAAGTAGCTTGTGACATATTAACTACGTTATCGATATCGATCAACTATCGCGATCAAAAAATGTTTGACGATTAACCGAAAGAAATATTGATCATGTCTTGTATTTAATCATATCTATTTATGGCATATGAAGCATCAAATAGAACATTCGTAAACCCGAACGTTTCGACAGAGTGAAAAATCGATATATCGTTGTCGGAACTGATCCGTATCAATTTGATGTTTCGAGCAAGTCAGTGGAATGCGAGGTTACCATTCGTTGATTCAAGTACCGACGTGTAACTAATGCGTCGGAAGTGATTATCATAATTAGAAGATCGCGTTAACCATAATTTGTCTGCCAGAGTACGTTAAACATATACGCGTCTACGTTCGGAATTAATTCGAAAAGTAATAGAAGCGTGGCGTTACTGGTTAGCCGTTGCTTTGAATAGTGGCTTGTTTACAAACGAGCTGTCAGTGTTCGAATTCGACATCCGATCCGAGTTGATACGAAAATTCGAAGTATTTGCACGTAGCTGCTATAAGGCATCGTGAAACGGGCCACGAGGACGGGTCAGCCACGAATAAAAATTGCTGTTGAAAAAAGGTATTTTTTTTTCTTTTGTCTTTTCCCGGAAGATACGTCGGCCGAATGCGTAATGTCGTTATACCCATGCGCCTCCGCAAACGTGCATGCTCGAAAGACTGACAAGGTGAATTACCTTGTAAATTCATTCGATTTTTTCCCATCCTTCGATTTCATTGTCGGTTCGTTCTTTATTCGCGGTGCAGCTGAAACGTTTTTTATGGGCCAATTGATGCTAGCTATTTTTTTCAATCTTACATTTACGTAACATTGGTAGACAGTTAATTAACCGTATGAACAGAGAAAAATTCTGACAGTTACCATTTCCGATTTTAGAGCAGATAATTATCGATAACAAATAATGTTAATTAAAAATTTTTACGCGAAGTTCCCAAGATAGTATCGAATTTTTTAATGTCGTAAGTTCTGGGAAAACAAGCAAACACGCTAAGAATATATTAATGAAATTCTTTGCAAATATAATGCACATACAATTAGCATAGAATGTGAACGCATCCAGTAATCAATTATGGTTTCTACTTTGAAGTTCATGAATTCGTCTGATCGCAATCATAAATTATGATGCATTTTTGTTCCTGTAAATTAAAAAGAAATCGTTAAAATCTTAAGGAAGATACTATATGATTAATAACAATACCTTTACATCAGCGAATTTAAATACATTCATCCACTTTAACGGTTTGTTTTTAAAAAGATGAATTAAAAATTGTTTAATCACTTTTCATTTACCTTTCAAGAGGTTCTCGCTAATAACCTCGGAAGGAGAGTGCTCCAAGTGTAACAATGATATTTAAGTTAATTCGTGTGCTATAATAAATCTTGATGCTCTTAAGCGTGGTTAGCAATTTAGAAATTAATTACGAGTGCAGTGTTAATATTATTACGCTTAAAACTTCGGAAGTTATTAATCTTCAGTTATGTACGAATAGGTGCTAAGCGATGTCAATGACTTTGAAATATATTGTACTCTTTATACAGGGTGTTTCACAACCCTGAAGATCTTGAAGGGTTCCTATAGGTCCTTGAAATGAAGGGTAGTTAATTCTGAATAAGATTTTCCTCTGCAAAAATGGGGTTTGAAGCTTCGTTTCTGAATTATTAAGGCAAAATATGGACCAATCAGAGCGCAGGGATTTGGCGCGCTCAGCCGCTTGGCGGGAAACTGTCTCGCGTCTGCGTATGCGTCAGATTGGCTCGCTCTGATTGGTCCGCGTTTTTTCTTAATAATTCGAAAACGAAGCTTCAAACGCCATTTTTGCAAAGGGAAATTTTATTCAGAATTACGTCAGCTACCCCCCATTTCAGGGACATACATTAATTGTGAGACACTCTGTATACAACTACTAGTTAATTTTTAGAAGCGTTAAAATATTAAATACTATTAATATATTCACAAAGTTTGTCAATAAAAAAATTCATTAATTAATATTGTAGTATATATCTTGCAGGAAATTTAACGTAGTATGAGATTATAGTATAATAGTATTAACTAAAACGAACTGCAGCGATTTACAACCTGCCAAGTATCGAATCGATTCTTTCTTAAGATATCAGCTGCCGAGTAATCTGATATTTTCACGCGGTAATTTGGCATGCACAAATACTTTGTATGCACTTACCGTGAGAGTTAGATAATCGATACCTGGCCACGGTTTTATTGTACAGGTAGAATAAATTGGTGCACCACCTACAGCGCGAGCAACGATGAATACTTTGGCGTAGATAATCTCTTCGGAGGTTTTCAAGGATGTCTGTAATTTACAGGCCGGCAGGCAGCCCCGTTCTTTTTCTTTCTTTTTCACCGTATCATAGTCTTTCAGCCTCTCTTTGTGCGAATAACGAGACGGACTGAAAAGTGTAACAAACGTGTCCTTGCACGAAACAATGGGCCCTTAAGATAACCTTGCTACGCTGTTTAAACTTTTTTATTTCGAAACAGGTACAGGGTCTCGTTTATTACCAAATATATGCTCTTCAATATTTACTTAATAGCAGACTTTTGATTTATGATGGAAAACCAATGGAGTTTGATTATTAATTTCTGCATCTTGAAATAGAATTAAATGCGCGAAAATTGAAAATAAAGTTTGCTCTCTGACCTTCGGTTGCTGGGTTGTCAAATTATGGCGTTTATCCATCATCGTTCAAAAGAGAATACTATAAGTAGAATGAACCGTAGCCAGCGAAGATGAGAGATAAGAGATAACGATTTTGACAAGCTATTCGCTGGCGAATTTCAAAGCTGACACTAGACAGTGCATGCAACTTCCTAGCAACGAGTCATAAGCCACAGCTCGTGTACGCAAGCTGTCATAAGCAGCGAAAGAACAAGGTAGAGAAAGAAAGAGCGAGGAAAAGAAGCGAAAGGAGGCGGGAGAAAAGAAGTCTGACGGAATACCTCACAGGAAGACCCACGGATTCTCACCGATCTCTTAGAAGACTGTCTTGTGGTGCTTTTGCGGGTTGGACAAAAACGCGGCATTTTTTTGCCACCTAGCCCATTTACCAAACAATGAGATCGCAGAATGAACATTGATAGTGGCACAGAAGGTGCGGTGGGAGGAGCGGGATATGTAATTCGAGAATTTTTCGAATCTTTTATCTTCTTTATTTGGAGTCTATATAGGGGTTCTATGGTCACAGGATGCGCCGTTGCACTTTCTCATAAGTTGTTTGAATGCTGTTTTGGGAAATTTTAGCGGCAACTTGTGGGTGATGTAGGAATTATTTATTAGGTTTTGTAAGGGAGTTTGCAATGGTGGAAGTTTATTTGGGAAGCTTGTTAGTAAAATCGGAGTATAGGATTTGGAAATTTAATAGGAGTTCATGTAGGGATTCAATGTTTTACAAATTCGATCTGTTGGAATTCAATGCACCAAGAATACAACTCGTTGGAATTCAACGCGTAGGAGTTCAGTGCGTTGGAATTCACCGATTTAGGAATTCAACTTGTTGGAATTCAATACATTAGAAGTTCAATCTATTGGAATTCGACGCGTAGGAATACAACGCTATGGGAATTCAAGAGTTAGAAATTCAGCGCGTTGGAATTCACCGATTTGGGAATTTCACGCGTGGGAATTCAGAAACTTAGGAATTCAACGCTTTGAAAATTCAGTGCGTCAGAACTTGACATGTAGGAATTCCAGCAATTGGAATTCAGCGCATTAGAATTCAGTAACGTAGGAATTCAACGGTTTAGGAATTCCACGCGTAGGAATTCGACGATTTAGGAATTCCACGCGTAGGAGTTCAACGATTTAGGAATTCCATGCGTAGGAGTTCAATGATTTAGGAATTCAATGCATTGGAATTCGACGCATAGGAATTCAAGGCTTTGAGAATTCAACGCGTTGAAATTCGACGCGTAGGAATTCAGCTAATTGGAGTTCAACGCGTTGGAATTCCATATGTCGGAACTCAGTGACTTAGGAATTCAATACTTTGATAATTCAATATGTTGGAATTCACCACGTAGGAATTCAACGACGCAGAAATTTAATACGTAGGAATTCAACGAATTAGGAATTCAACCCGTAGGAATTCAACGACTTAAGAATTCATCCCTTAGGAATTCAACTCTTTGAGAATTCTACACGTTCAAATTCGGCACGTAGGAGTTAAATCCATTAAAATTCAACGTTTTGGTATTCAATGCTGTAGAAATTAAACGCTATAAATATTCTATGAGATGGAATTCAGTATTGTTAGAATTCAGTTTTGTAAGAATTCAACACTATAGGAATTCAATGCTGTGGGAATTTAACACTATAGGAATTTAATGAAATGCAATTTAATGCTATAAGAATTCAATGCTGTAGGAATTCAACACTATAAGTATTCTATGAGATGGAATTCAGTATTGTAAGAATTCAGTGTTGCAAGAATTCAGCACTATGGGAATTCAATGCTGTAGGAATTTAACACTATAAAGAATTCAGTGAGATGGAATTCAATGCTGTAAGAATTCAATGTTGTAAGAATTGAATTCAGTGCTGTATGAATTCAACACTACAAAGAATTCAGTGAGATGGAATTCAATGCTCTAAGAATTCAATGTCGTAGGAATTCAACACTATAAAGAATTCAGTGAGATGGAATTCAATGCTGTAATAATTCAATGTCGTAGGAATTGAATTCAGTGCTGTATGAATTCAACACTAAAGGAAATCAACGCAATAGAATTCAATACTATACAAATTCAACACGTTGAAATGTAACACATTAAATATTCAACACGTAAGAACACAACATACAAGAACTCACCACACAGTAGTACATAATATCATAATCACACACATAGAAATGTACCACGTAAAAAGTCAATACATACGAATACCTCGCACATGTATTTACAGCGCATGCGCACTACTCCTTACGCTAAACACGTGTTAACACCGCACAAATAAACAGCCACTCGTCACGCTCCTCAACATTTAAATAATACTTGACTCTTGACCGAAGCACGCTTCAAACCGACGATTAATAACAATCGAAAGACGATATTCATCCCGAACTCAAACACATTCCTGCCGGAGCCGCGTCCTCGCTTACCCGGATGCGTTGAAATGCATCTTGCATTATGTTAAGCTTCGGTGTACACGATTGCCATTGAAAAGAAATAGGTACCGTTATTAATTTCTGTCTTATCGTTCGTTTTCCTCGCGCTCACGATCAATCGTACGCATGAGAATTCTTCCGCGAGGATTTCCGAACTGGTATCAAGAGCATGCGATACACAACGAACCTGAGACAGATTACGACAATCTGTTGCGTGCTATTCAATAGGAAAAAAAAAAAACAATAACTTTGATACGTTCTCATGATCAGGCCGGTCTAACGTATCTCGTCAAATTAATCATAACGGTTAACAAGCATTTTTGCAAGTAACAGGGCTAATGATTCAGGTAACAACCGCATAATCTGCTAAGGTTAGCTAACTAATACGTAATCTGTTATAATCGGTTATCCGAACAGGCTGCTATCGAAATAGTTTCCTTCCCGAGTAGTCGGTAATCTAGTCGATAATAAGTTTCCTTGTGCTGTAATATGCTACTTTTAATATGGTGATTCTGTAATATGGCACTGTAATATAGTGAATCTATAATATGGCACTGTAATATGGTGAAGCTATGATATGGCACTGTAATATGGTGAAGTTATAATATGGTAATTTGTATACATAGTAACTTTTAATCGGTAGGTACTTTATAATATGGTAGTACGGAATGTTCTTTTTTATAATTGCAAGAAATGGTGGTCGATAGAGGGAGAAATCAGACCTACTGTAATTTTTAGGGACTTTTGGGAATATCAAAATTTAGGGGTAGGTTGAGAATTTGGGACGTAGGAATTTCGAGACTAGGATATTTAAGGGTCGAGGGAATTTGAAGTTTGAAATTTGGGGGTCTAGGGAATTTGAAGGTGGAAATTTAGGGGTTTAGGAAATTTGAAGCTTAGAATTTGGGGGCCCAGGGAATTTGAAGCTTGAAATTTGGGGTGTAGGGAATTTGAAGCTTGAAATTTGGGGGTTTAGGGAATTTAGAGCTTGGAATTG